TAGACCCGCTAAATAAACCCCTAGATATCTCCTCCTAAGGTGTCCTCTCTATAACTCTCCTAGGAGAGCTCTAAAGGATACTCTCGAGACAAATAACCCTAGTTTTTAAGAGGTACTTACCGGACTAGGAATCCTAGCTACGCTCTAATTCCTTAAATAAACGAGGATAGCTACGCGGAAATAGCGCCTTAATAACCTTCCCGAGGGGGAGTAAAACACCTACAATTCCGATCTACTCCTTACTATTTTATCTTCTCTAAAAACCCTTTTCTTTCCTTCGTTTTTATCACCTCGGCCTAGATCTAACTATTCCTCGCACCACCTCGCTTTTATCTTATATTTAAACCCCCTAGCCAGTCCTAAATAGACCGTCCGTCATAGTTTCTAACTACATATAGACGTAAAATCAATCAATTAATTAACCTCGAAGCCATTACAGAAATCCTAGCAAAACAGTAAGAAGATAGAAACAACGCTAACCGCGAATACTAAGAGCTTACTAAGCAAAACAAGGAACTAGCAAAATAGAATAAACAACTCTAAAATTAGGTAGTAGAGATAGCTAACAAGCTAAAAAGGCTTACCCAAATATATAAGAACCTAGTAACAGTTCCCAAAGAAAATTCTAACTAGGCAGCCGTAGCAGCGACCCTACCCGTAGCGCTAAGCCCCCTAACATACAATATACAGTCCGGAAATAACCCCAGGATTATTAAAATCACCGTACCTCCCGTACTAGCAAGCTAATCAGGGACTAATAGAGGACTTACCCAGAATATATCGATAGAGACGGCCAAAGCTCAGATTAGTAAAGCTATATAAGGAAAGGCCGCGACGAGAGATACCGAAGTCCTAGAAGTAGGCATAACTAAATAAGGATACCTTATACGCTTTAGAACTAAGAAAGATCGAGAGTAGGCTAGCAATCACGACGAGTAGACGAATATCCTAGAAAAGAGCGTAAAGATTAACCGCCCTAGGTTCGGAGTAGTAATACATAAAGTCCTAACCAAAGAAGTTAACATAAGCAAAAAGAAAGAAGCAATTAGAAAAATTAGGGGAGAAAATAGCTACACTCAGCCTACCCAATAAATCGAAGACATCGCCTAGATAAAGAAAAAGGACGTTCCTATAGGAAAACCCGCTTTCCTAGGTATCTAGTTTAGTAGCGAAGATACAGCACGTTACGCGATTTAAAACGGCCTTATATTCGGGCCTAACTTCGTAAACCGCGCCGAGTACTACAGCCTAGAAAGAAAGAAGTACCACCGCTACTAAAAACTCGGCTACCTAGTTTAGAACTACCGAGAAGAAGGAAATAACCCTAACCTACTATAACCTAGAATCTAATACCAGACACACTTCGGATCCTATAGTTAAACATATAGAAATCAAGGGCTTATATAGAAGCCCTAATAAACGACCTAGAAATAGTATAACTCGATATTCTCCTTATTCAAGAACTACTAGTATCCTTATTTAAAACATATATCTAACACAGAGCCTAGCAACTCTATATCCCAACCGATACAAAAGAAAAAAGAAAACGGACCGTAATCTATATAAATAAACGGATCTCACCCGTAGTATAATAGTAAGTCTACTACGACAGCCTAGACATTACGGCAATCAAGGTACTTACGCCAGCTAGGGAAGTCCTTATATTTTTAGTATATATACCTCTAATCGGCGGAACGCGCTACGCAGCAGAATAAGAAATACAAGCTACGCTAAGAGTAATCTAGCAAATAGTTAAAATAATACCCCAACGAGGCATTATTATAGGCGGGAACTTTAATAGGCAAGATCCACTCTAGGGCGGAGACTAAATAAAACCGCATTTAGTAGGAGACGCCGCGTCTCTAGTACTCTTTATACAGGACTATAAGCTCGAAAGCTATCTCCGCCGCGGTACACTAACATACTAGGCAGTAAACAAGTAAGGTAGCAAAATAATAATAGACCTAACCTTAAGCAACCTCCAGCAGCACCTTCTCAAATACGAACTTTCACACACCTCTCGCACTAATAGGATCGCTATAACCAGCGCCCCCAGAACCTCGAAAATACTATCAAACGAATCAGCACAGCCTACTTACTTTGCAGACTAACTTGCACCAGGCCGTAGGCCTT